GCAGCAGAGTCCCTTGTGAAAAAGGGGTTTAGGGGCTTGGGGTTTAGGGCCTTGGGCATCTCGCCATGAGTGCGATGTGCTGCGGGGGACATTGGCCGGGCGAGCTCCAGTCAAGCCTGTGTAAAAGGGGTTTATGGGGTTTAGGGTGGCCCTCCACTCGAATCTCTAAGTTCTTGTTTCTAAAAGTCTAGGAAGTCTGTTGCCAAAGGCATTCAATACTCATGGCGCCTGTGATAAACCCCTGAAAGCAACAGTTGTGGTAGCCCTAACAGCACTTCTGCTGAGCAGGATGGATGCCGAGCTTAAAGCTCTCGGCACTGGCCACATGCAGGTCTCCTGGCTCACGGCAACCTTCGAGTACGGGATTTACCTACGCTTCTTATCTTGTGGTTTAGAGTTTAGGAACCCGCCCCCCCCTTCCCCCTTCCCCCCCCAAAAAAAAACACGATGAGGGAAGCTAGAACAAGGGGGTTGCTGTCCCTTGAACCAGGGCTTTTGGTGGTTCCATGCCACGGTCATCCAGCTTTGGGAAGGGTGCTTGCGCAGCGTGGCCTAGTTGTTTGCTTCGCACGGATTGCTCCTGGCTGGTGTTGGGTGCAAGCAGAGGCTCTGAGACCCGACCGCGAGTATGCCCTATTGTACCCTAAAAACCCACTATTAGGGACCCTAAATCCAAAACCCTAAACCTTAATAAATCCAGAAGGGCAGCAACCCTAAACCCTGAACCTGAAGCCGCTCCTAAAGGAATCGCCTTCATTGAGCCCACAGCCTTAGTGACACGCTTTACCCAACGTGGTCGATTGAGGTTTAGGGCTTGGGGTTTTAGATGGGATTAGGGATGGTGCTATTCCGTCAGGTTTATTGGGGGCCTTGGGGGGTTTCAGTTGGAAGCGTCATGGGCACCGTGCGAAAGGATGCATTGTGCATCCTAAGCAAGGTTTTTGTTAAGGGATGCCAGATGCAGGCACGTGTGTGCATCATGCGGCCGGGCGCAGTGATCCCAGACTCGCCTCCACAGGTACTTGCCAAGCTTATGCGACCGAGCATGCAGCGCGAGGCAAGGCAGCATTCGACCTGAATATAAGCATGAGCTTAGTTGGTGCTGTCGTAGGCCATGTGTTGTCGTCTCGCAAGTGCATTGATGTCCTTGACTGAACTTCGATGCATTCAGAAGCCGGGCTGGTTCAGAACGAAATCGTCAACAGAATGCCGAATGAGAGAGCATGTCTGAACAAAAACCCATCGTCTTGACGGCTGCGTTGCTAGAAGCACAAGTGTAAGGGCTTAGCGTGACCTGAGTTTGATCTCATGTGACAGGTGTCCGAACTTTTCCCAGATGCCGAGTTGGATATCCAAGCTTTGATGCAGGGTGACAAACAGCCGCCTGCCAAGCACGGGATATGGTCTCTGGCAAAGACGGTCTTCGGTGTTATCCAGGGAAGACTCTCGCCGCAACTTGGTTAGGACCCGGCCACCCTCAAGATTGAAGACTTCCAGGTACGTGAAAGTGCTCCGAAAGGCAGTGGAGGGCATGAAAGATCGGGCAAAAGAGCCTGGTCTGAAACTCGTTTGGTCATTCCAAGGATACCATGGAAACAAAAACATCATAGCAGTGCCAGGTGTTCTTGTAATACGGCTAGGGGCTGTGCAGCTCCCGTGCCCTTATGATTAATACTGAGCACTTTCGGGTCAGTGTGGGGTTCAGGGGTTGAGGGTTCAGAGGCTTGGGGAAAAGGGTCCTGGGTCCTTGAGACGAGCTTGCCGGCAGACACTCAAAGCCTGTGCAGCAAAAGGAGTCCCTATAACCCCTGGCCCTAAACCCTTATAACCCCTAAAACCCCAAACCCTACAGCTCAAGCCCTAAACCAAGGGTCCTAAACCGTGATTCGTAAGCATGACAGTCATCACAGTCAGTGCCTGGTCCATGTGTGAGTGTCGAAACCTTAAACACCCCGGAGATGAGTTGGTCAATCTTAAAGGGATCCTTTTTGCTTTTTGTGGCTTTCCTAGCATGTTTGATCCCGTTACCCAAGAGGGACGAAGATGAGGTGAGGAAGCTCGGCAGCGTGATGTCGGACATTGCCCCGGGTCTTACGAACGCGTTGCTGCACGTGCGAGATGCGCACTTGGCGAAATTGCTGCGGTCGGCGCCTTTCGACCAGGCCACCACAGAAGCTCGACTCATCTTTCCCCACGGCTTCTGCAGTGCCTGTGTCAGGGAGAGGTGTACAGGGTGAGCGCTTTGGGTGCACTTGGGCTCGTGGTTTTGGACTATTGGTCGTTTAGAGATGGGATGAGCAGTCCGGACGAGTGGTCCTGCAAGCCACGAGTACCCCGCTAGGATCGGAATTCAATCGTGCGCACTTCCAGACCACAGAGCGTGGGAATGTTTATGCCTAAGCATGATGTGCCTGGTAGAAACCTGGGAAGACAGCCGTTTCCGTTTATTGCAGTTTCTGAGGTGTGCGTAGTTGGCATGGCCCATATGGACGGCATCGCACGGCGCTATACCGATGCCAAGTGGCAGGTCATCGGCAGCTGTGAGAGCTTGGAATGTCATGTCGAGATGGCGGCCACCCCAGTTCTGAAACATGTTCCGAAGCTGTCAAACAACATCGTGCTGAGTCTGAACGGCATCCTTATGTTGCAGCACATCCTGCCACGGAAAAAACAAACTAACGGAAGACATCGTTTAGATCCTGCCCTCTTGATTCCGCAGTTCCAAAATTCTCGACGAACCCAGACATCTGCGACAGTGCCCCAACGACGACAGACCACAACAGGCAACAACAACAACAACCGCAGCGGCAGCAGCAGCAGCACCACCACCACCACCACCACCACCACCAACAACAACAACAACACCAACCACCAACCACCACCACCACCACCACCACCGCCACCGCCACCGCCACCGCCACCGCCACCGCCACCGTCACCACCACCACCGTCACCACCACCAACAACAACAGCAGCAACAGCAACANNAGCAACAGCAACAACAACAGCAGCAGCAGCAGCAACAACAGCCACAACAACCACAACAACCACAACAACCACAACCACAACCACAACCACCACAGCCGCAGCCACAAGCACGACAACAACCACGACAACAACAACAAAAGATGTGCAGCAAAAGGTACCGCGGCCGCAACCAGCACTACCAGAACAACACCACGACCACGACAGATAGAGACGAAGACACCAGCGGCGCTTCCAGTGCTGCCCCAACATGCTGACGCTGTTTCTTTCCTCCTCCTCCTACTACTACTGTTGGCAGGAAGATGAGCCCTGGAAACCACCGAAGGTGGCATCAGGACCTTCGCCCAGAGTTTCGCTTCGCTTTAGCAGATGGACGCTTTGGACCTTGGTTTCGACCCTCGATTGCCACATCCTTTCCACGCAGAGTCGGTGTTCTTGACGTTACATGTCCGACATAAACTCAGCAACGAGTTCGATGAACAACCTGAGCTTGGCTTTGGTCTGTCCCCAACCTGTCTTGCGGCTGTAATCAATAAATTCACCCGATGAGCAACCTGCCGGTTCTGTTCCAGCAGGAACTTTAGGTACAGCTGCGAAATGCTGGAAAAGGCACCGGATGCCTGCCATCAGAGTGGAAGTGTAGCATGGCGACAAATCCTTTGGTGCTGTTTTCATTCTCGTGCCTGGCAGGACAAAGTTTCCCTTTGCCACAAGCGTTGGATGAACCTCGGTTGACGATGGAACTGCAGTTATACAGACCTCTGCGGAAACAGGGAAGAATTTGTTTCACTGACTTGTTGGAGCTAATAATTCCACACTGTGATGACGAGATCGTCGTGGATAGCTATTGCGTTGCGCGTCATGCATGGCTTAGCCCTTCTTCTTGCACTAGCATGGATAGAAGGAGTATTCTCAACTTGTCCGGGTTGAAAGGGCTGGTGCCTTGATCGATTTATGCTGATCGAGCTCTTTCAATGGCCCTGCAAGGTTGGGCAGCTTCTGGATGGCCTGAGAGCCTTAGAGCAGGCGCAGCAAACCGGGAGCGCGGGGAGAAAAGCCTGTTTGCTGCCGAGTCCTCTCAGCAGGGCACTCTTGAGGTCAATATAGGTGCGTGCTGAGCCAAATGTTGACCTGATCGACGAGATGGTGCTTATCTAGGGGCTTCGGGCTTAGGAGTTTAAGATGTATATATATATATATATATATATATATATATATGGGTCTGGCGTTCGGGAAACAAAGGAGGTATCGAAAGCTTCGCAGCAAAGGCCTCGAGGGGCTTTGCGACATAGGACAGCAAGGGGTAGCAGGCTCCAGCGACTAGTTTGATGAGCCGGAAGTCCCACATATCTGATGGGCGTTAGGGTTTAGGAGTTTAGGGAAAGGGTTTAGGGTTTAGCTGTTCGCTGCTACACAATCCAAGCCCATGCTGAAAAAGGGTTTAGCAGCAGTGCCGGCCGAGGTTGCATGACATGTACCGTGGGTGGGGCCAGCTGCACATCGAGTGCGCCTCTCAGCAAGTAAGAGACGTAAGCCTAACCCTAAACTCCTAAACCCTTAACCCTAAAACTTGGGTCGAGATGTACCTGAACAGGCCATCTCTGGCCTCCGTGCTTTGAAAGTCGAGGGAAACATCAGAAACCCCGACAAGCAGATCAGAACCGGCTGCCTGGAACATCGAAGCCGAAGGTACGGCAGTGAACGATCGCCGCGTGCTGACTCGCACGCGAACGGCTCAGACATTGTGCGAGGATCTAAGAAGCTAAGCCCTAAGCCCAGAATGAGTTGGACTTGATGTGTGAAGCCGTGCCCGCCCTGTGCGAGTGTGCGAGCCGAAACCCAGATCCCAGAACCCTGTGGAAGGTGGCTCAACAAGACTTTTGCAACAATTGAAGCCGGGGTATCTAGCCGGGCTTTATTTATAGGTGCCCAGTGTAGTTTTCCAGACATTTACATCCCATGTAAGAAGCCTGTTATACATCGCCGTCCCGCGGGTAGACTCGGGTAGACTAACCCCTGTAAATGGTCCGTTTCTGTCACCGGGCTTCTCTGCAGGCAGCGCCTGTTTGGTTTCAAAGAGGTTGATTGAACCAGGACTGTAAATATCAACGCTGTCAACTAAACTCGAACCCGCACCGACCCAGCGCCAAGAACCTCGGCTGCAATGTCCGAGAGCGATGGCCGAAACCCTCTAAACCCTCAGCTTAGAAGATCTTGCCTCTCAGGATTCGTGGCCCCATGCACCCTTCTACGATCCGAAAGCAGATCCCATCAGCCGGTCCGCGCCACAGATGCTTTTTGCGGATTTGTACTACTTAATCTATGGGGCTTCTCCAAGACGGGGATCTTCCTGTGTTGATTGTAAAGACTGGTATGGAGCTCCATAGGGGATTAACAGGGTTGCATCAAGGGTTCCCCAAACCTGAAAAGCACTTCCGAACGCGGACGACTTCGGACAATGAAAACAGACCCGTCGACGCTCAAAGGCTATCGTACTGGCTGCAGCTTGCAGACCACTTTCGGTACCCCAGCGTCGTGCACTTTGCATCTTTGCCGGAGATGATGGAGAAGGCTCCTGCTCTAGGGCGCGACCCAATCCCATCTAAGCCCGAGACCCAAACCCTAAATCTAAACCCTAAACCCATGTAAACCTTAAGTCTAAACCCTAAACCCTAAATCTAAACTTAAACCCTAAATCCACTTAAACCTCAAATCTAAACCCGAAACCCTGGGACTTGGGAAGCCTAGGGTTCCGTGGAAGCGTCGAAGGCCATCGGTGAGGATTGGGCCAAAATCAGCGTTCAGACGCCATCTCCTCAGCAAGAGAGCACCATGACTGTCCCGTGCATTTTCGGGATAGGAGGTTAGGTTTTAGGGTTTAGGGTTGCTACACTCTGAGGGAGCGCGCATGCCATCGTCCTTGGACACAAATTGATCCTGGGGCCCCTGGGGTGCCTGAAACTGGCTCTAGACTTGAGCAGAGCCAGAAAAGGGGTTGCCACTCTCTCTTTACTTGATATGTACCTCTCGGACACCAGCGATGCTGGCACCAGTCGTGCGAGAGTCAGAAGGTTTGTCTCCGCCAGGTGTTCGACCGAATCCCGCTCCCTCAAACCTAAAGGTGGCTGTGCTTTTCTGAGGGTGTTGTTTTTTGTTTGGGGCTTGTGTTCGTTCTTGGGTGTACGGATTAGGGCTCATAAAGCTTTGGGTTTATTGATCGTTTCCCCACTGGTTTCCCTGTGTCCAGCCCTAGTCCCGGCAGTGTGACTTGGTCAGCTAGGCGGGTGGCAGCAAGAAGTCTGTTTGATCGGCTCAGACCAGCCGTTTAATAATGTAGGGACCGGAATGACTAGAGATAATGTTGACCATAGTCCGCATACAACTATAGAGATTTTTACACTGAAACCCTATGCGAATTCTTAAGTCCCTGCATAGGGGGCATGGGAGAGGCAGCTCTGGCATTGAAGGGGGCGAACTGATCACAGTGACTTAATTTAGGGGCCCTGAATAACAACAACACTAATAATCATATATCTTTCTATCTTATAGTTACTCAGTCATGTAGGTACTATATCCCCTTGAGTCTGGGTTCACAAACTATAAGGGGATACCATTCGTACGTACTCCGACCCCTGCGTGAGGCGTGCGCACCATCGACGAGTCATGTCCGAGAGCGAAGCGCCGGGGTCTTGATCCGCGACGTTTCGCGCTTTCCCTCTGTTGCATATCAGCCCTAAAGAGCCAAAAAAAGCTTATAAACCCTAAACCCGAAAAGCTCTATTTTCCGAAGCCTTCTGTTGCATAGCAGCCCTAAACCCTAAACCCTAAAAGCTCGGATCCTCATTGCCATGCCTGCCTTGTGCGAGTGTGTGAGTCGAAACCCTAAAGGCTCTATGTTTCGAAGCCGGAGCCTCCGACCTGAATCCTTTTGTCTGCAAAGTACAACAGCAATACTAAGATTTACTAATGAGGAACGATTAAGAAACCCTGGCCCTATAACCCCGATATGTTAGGATTCATATTAAGAACCCCAAATAAAGGCTTAGGGTTTCTTAATCAGGTTCCTACATGAGTAACCACGGCCCATCGGTGGGCTAGCTCGACTTCAGTGTGTTAGCGACATCAAGTCGACGGCCAGCATGTTGCAGCCTCCGCAGCCTTAAAGAAAATAGTCTGCGGCCGCCACAGCCACTTTCTCCCGAGTTTGGGGGGAAGGGGACGGGAGGGGTGAGGCTGTTGAGACGGAAGCATAGAGCGCTTCCGTGCCTTCCAGGGTCTCAGACGTGCAGGGAGCCATCATCATAGTCTCTACTGGTGATTAGTGTGCTCACCTTAGCAAAAGGGAGCAAAAGAGTGCATGGAGGCCTTTGGGTTGTCCACAAAGTAGAGGATGCTCCGCACGCGGATGATGGGCAAAGTCCCGGAAATGCTACATGTCCGGATGATGGCATCGGGAGAAGAGGTGGACGTCAGAGGTTTCAAGACAACTAGCGTTCGCCAGAAGTCGGGTCTGTTCTCTTTCTGGCTTTGCTTTGTTTACTGGGCTTCGCTCTTCGCCCTAACCTTAACCTCCGAGTTGTGAGAGCGTAACCCCAAAACCTTTGAAACCCTAAACCCTAAACCCCTAAACCCTAAACCCCTAAACCCTAAACCCTAAACCCCTAAACCCTAAACCCCTAAACCCTAAACCCTATAAACCCCATCCCTGCAGGTCGTTGCCCTCTCTGCGAATGAGTTCGACACTCTTGCTGCGTCAGCGCAAAGGTCGGTACGAGTCCTGTTGCTTGGCGTATTGTTATTTTTAGTAGTATCAGCGTTAGTGAGTTAATATATGTATTATTACTGTTATTATGATTATTATTATGATTAGTAGTAGTAGTAGTAGTAGTAGTAGTAGTAGTAAAACTTTTTGTCTAATCAAACTAGATGAACCTTCGGGAACAGATGTGAAGGCTGTGATTTCTAGATGTATTAGTACACATGTGAAGGCTTTCTAGATGTATAAACATTACGTCATCTACGGACAGGGTTGCTTCGGAGCACGCGGCCCTTTTCCATCGCAGGATCGGCACCTCGACCCTCCGAATGACAGCAAAGCCTCGTTCCTCCATGAGGGTTTCTGGGAAGGGCCACTGAAGCTGGAGAAAAGGAGCTCAACAAAACAAGAAACCTTAACCATACTATTTCCGAAACTTCTGCGCCAACACCAGGAAAGAGCACCTGGCGAGGGTAACGGGATGTCCGCGCTTTCGCCTTCGGGTGCTGCACAAGGGCTCCATTGTGCAGGACGAGACGCGCTTGGACCTCCCCGTTTCCTTGGCGCTCGTAAAGCTGAGCTTTGAAGATCCGGAGATGGCGAACTTGGAAGAGGTTCTAATCCCGAAACCCTGAACCCACCTAAACCCGCAACTCCTCACCCTAACCCCAAAACATTAAACCCCTAAAACCGAAAAATCTACCAAGAGGTCGGCCACGCAGCTTCCATGGACGATGCAGTTACTGTGGAAGCCTTTCTCCAGAGGCCTCAACACCCTGATCTCGCAATCGAGCGGGGTCTCACTTGTTTGGGTTTCGCTGCTCGAAGTGGTCAGTTGAAGTCTGCGAAGTTGCTTCTTGAAGCCAGGGCGGATGTAAACAAAAGCGACGAACAAGGCATCACACCGTTGCATTTGGCATCGGCGGAGGGTCACAAGAAAGTTGTGCGATGGCTCCTCAAGAACTATGCCAATGCGGGTGCTACGACCGCGCAGGGTGACTCGGCCCTGCACTTCGCGTGCGATATGGGCCAACGGAAAATCGTGCGCATCTTGCTTGAGGCAAGAGCAGATACTCAGCAGCAGGAATCTCGAGACGGTGCCACACCCTTGCACTGTGCGTGCCTGTCGGGCCAGGTGAAGGTCGTGGAATTGCTGCTGAGTGCATCTGCAGATGTACATAAACAGACACAGCGGGGTGCAACACCAGTACACTGGGCGTGCCACCACGGCCACGTGGATGTTGCACGTGCGTTGGTTTGGTCAAGAGCTGATGTAAACCACGCCAGTGCAACCGGAGCAACACCCCTCTACTGTACCTGCGATTTAGGACATGTGGAAATGGCCCGGTTCTTGATTCAAGCAGATGCTGATATACATCGCGACACAGCGAATGGCATGACCCCGCTCTTTGTCTCAAGTATGGTGGGGCACACAGAAATAGTGCGAATGCTGGTGAAGGCCGGTGCGGACATGAAGCAGGCCACAGCCGGACAGATACCGCTGCATATCGCATGCATCAATGGACATGTAGACATCGTCCGGATCTTCCTGAAAGGCCAAGTCCGGCAACCACGGCCAGCTGAAGCTCCTCTCCATTCAGACACTTCTCTTCTCAAAGCCTTACATCTCTCATGTGCCTTTGGACATGTGGAAGTAGTGAAGCTCTTGATTGGCACCGTAGATGTGGATGGCTTGGATAAGCATGGCATGTCGCTGTTGCATCATGCATGCGCTCTTGGCCGAGCTGAAGTCGTCCGCTGCTGTCTTCGGGCTGGCGCTGGGGTTGATGTGCAAACATCGGGCGGGACGACACCCTTACAAGTTGCGTGTGTCGCAGGCTACGTGAAAATCGCAGAGCTGCTGATTCAGCATGGGGCTAGAACAGACCTTTCCGATCGGCTGGGCACGACGCCACTGCTGGTTTCTTGCCACACCCTGCAGGTCGAACTCGCAAAACTTCTGTTGGACAACGGTGCGGCAACTGACGAACCCTCCGTGGATGGTGTTTTGCCACTGCATGTGGCCTCTATCCATGGACACGAAGAGCTTGCCGAATTGCTGATACACAAGAAGGCCGATGTGGACGCGTCCACACAGGACGGCCAGACGCCGCTCCTGGGTGGCATTGGGTGGCAATGTGCCAGAATTTCAAGCTTTGCCTTTGGTCTTTAAGAAATAGTCAGAGATACCTGTTCAAAGTGATTGGAAGAACCTTCAACTTCATCGAATGCCGTAAATCCTGCGTCAGCTGGGGAACTCGGAGCCCCTAATCGCTAAACCCTGCAACATAGGGGTCTTAATGCTGGAATAAGGCTTCATAAAGTTTGTAGAACTGATAGTATCTAGCTATGGTACTTGTAGGGACTATAAGTGGATGATTTTGGCAGTTAGTGCCCTAAGCCTTTGCAACCCAGGCTGTGCATTGCTCGGTTTCACAGCCACTGGGGCGTTGTACGTTTGCTTATGCAGGCTGGTGCTGTTGAAACGCGTCAGCCGAAAAGGCGACGTAGGACTAAAGGTCCTTAATTCAATTCGATTAGAGATTACCGTGGGCTCTAAGGTTCAAGCACTTTCTTCCCGTTTCACAGTACACTCTGTATTTCGATATTATAGATGTGCCTGTATATGCTTACCGCACTATGCATGATACAGTGCTGTGGGAGCTTATTTTGAGTCCATACCTACACATGGGTTCAAGCTGGCTGGTGTGTTGCGGCTCTGCAGCCGCTGCTGTCCTCCCCTGCCATCAACCTGGACACCCGCCAGAGAAAAAAGGCACTGAGGACGTAGAAAAAAGGTCTCATGCCGCTCCGCATGGTCACCGTCTGCCGAGTTTCCACAAGGCAACAATAAGTTGAAACGTTGTTTCGAGGTGTTTAAACATAAGACACAAAGCACTCGGAAGACAAGTTTCAAGCCTTTTGGATATTGGAGGCTCTTCTCTCTAGAAGCGCTACATTCAACACTTAAAGCAATCGATTCACTGGCCTGTCGGGTACCGAAGCCCGAGCCGTTTAGGGTTTATCATTTGCAGTTGGTGCATGAAGCCTGTCGGCTGCTGCTAAGGTTCTACGCAGACAGCCTGCTGCAGCTGCTCGGAGAAAAGGACGCTTTTGTGCCAGCATCTGCATGTTCGATTGATGTTGTCTCGTGTTCCGTCTTTTGTCTTGAGTGTTTTCCGTGTTTCCCTGCCACCACTTGCATAGCTGTATTTTTGATTGGTTTTACATGTTGTTTGTTGCTTGTCTTGGTGGAGGGCACCGTGTTCGGCTGCACTCTGCTGCCTGGAGCAAATTTACCGTAGCAAAGCAGCGGTAGCTAGGGTCACCAAAATCTCATTCAGCTCGAGCTGTGTACCCGACAATGTGGGAATGAGATTTTTGGAAACGAGCTCGCTATCAAGGTCATCAAGCTTGCTCGGTCGCTGAGCTATTGAGTAATCGTAGTTCGTTTATTGGATATGAGTGGTACCGCCGTGGTAAGCGTGCCATTGAATGGCTGAAAGATACATCTGCGTGATTGAGTTTGTCAGCGTCAGAACGGCATGTTTCTTGTCAGGGCCCAGGCGTATCAGCTCATGTCTCATGTGTGCTGTTGAGAGGTATGTTTTGCTTGCTCGTGATCTGTCCACTTTGGGCAAGGGCCCGTCACATCATGATGGTGTCCCTATCAAGCACTAGCAGTCACAAGAGCCCAGCGTCAAGCCACATGCTGAAACAGGTAAGTCCTGCAAGCACATCTGAAACCCACATGGGTCGTCTGCCGTCGTTTGATGAGTTCCCTAAGCCCTGGTCACCCGACGCAGGATTCTCTAGGGTGGACAAAATTCTCAAACCCTGATCCCTTTCATCCAATCAAGCTAGCGAGAAGCACTCCGTCTTCACACATACCCCTACATTGACAGACAGATGGGTAGATGGCTCGACTGTCTATACACCCTGAATCCTAAACCCCGACAGAGCCCAAACAGAAGCCCTCAGGGGCCGGTCTTGCCAGTTCTACGACAGCCTACCCATAGGCCCCATAGTAGTTCCTTTTTCGGATTGCTTTATAGAATTCTTACTATGAACCCCAAAAAGGAACTACTTTAGGGCCTCTGGGTAGCCCTAAGCCTCTTCGCAGCTCTCGGCTCGGATCTCTACGGGTCTCAGCATCGCAGCCACCCGAAGCAACGCGCGCTGCTCGGGGGTTTGGGGATCCAAGGGGTTCAGGAGATTCGGATCTCGAAAGCTCCAAGGCGGTTGGGGGCTAAGGGCATGGGCAAATCCGTAGAGTCTCGAAGCATTAATAGACAAATACGATCATATTTTATAATACCATATAATCAGCAAAACATGTAATGATGGACACGTCTTGGTGCTCAATGGAAGTCTGCATGAGCCACAGCCGGTGGCACATATGGGAGGCGAATACGCCAGCTACAGTTACCGCGTATGGGTTAGGCAATTACAGGCTGCTGACTGGGATGGTGATGGCGATCTGGACCTTTTCGTGTTTAACTCTGATGGAGCTGGATGCTCCGCATATTTTGAGCAGGTTGCCAACGCCAGTGGCACTTCCTACAGCAAGCTTCCGTTTGAGTCTAGAACTAGACAGAATGCCGTAAGGTCAGTCAAGAGCATTTTGCCGGTCCAGGTGCTTGACTGGGACTTGGTGATGTGCTAAATTGCTCAACTCAACTATACACTAGACGCGTGGCAAGCCGGTCAGACCGAAGGCTACTAGGGATTCAGAAGATTGGCGTTGCTGAAAAATTTGCGGATGTTGAGAAGCCGGATACTGGGGTGATGTTTGCTATACAACTGCTGCGCCTCAGGCAAAAGCAAAAGCGATGCTAATGGAAGCTCGTCTTTCACGCGGCTCTGCTGCGTTGGGATAGATTTAGAAAGAAACGGTTGTACCTCCTACTGTACATGCCCCCAGAACTTTGTCTCCAGGCTTTCCTGAGATTTCGATTCTACAGTAAAGACTTCTTATGAAACGAGGGTCTGAGGGTGGCTCCTGTTAGGTTGCTAGTGCATGTCGATGTTCCGATCAGCCAGATGCCACCACCGGCTGCAGTGATAGCTCCCATTCTGAAAGGGCACCAGTTGTAGGATTTTAGGATTTGTTCGTAACAGTGTCCATTCTAGTAGTTGTAATGATACTACTAAAAGCCGAAGCAGTGTGCGGATGCTAAGGTAAACGGCTTGTAGTGATATAGTATAGCAGGTATGTTAGACTGCTGGCGACAGGAACTGTAAGAGCAGAAGCAACGTGCTGCAGCATGCTGGTAAGCATATTTTGGTGGCTACAGAGTAGTTGTAAAATGCTGTCTAAATTGCCAGGAGGAACACAAGAGTTTAAGTAAACTGTGTAGTGGGCTCGTAGTCATAGAAGTCGTCATGAAATCGCTGTCGTCCGTGCAACTGCATGAGCCCATGCCGAGAAAACCAAGCACCCTTGACAGCAGTACTACAATGGCTACTACTTACAACAGTCGCCACAATACGAAGAGTTAACAGCTAGTGATTACCCATAGGCCCCATAGTAGTTCCTTTTTGGGGATTACCTCATATGATCCTAAATATAAGCCACAAAAAGGAACTACTATGGGGCCTATGGGTGGTACTGTTGTATTGGTTCTGATGACTTGGCTGAGGCCGGGAGACTGTCTGACACACGAGGGGGCAGCTGACCTGCCACCAAACCAGTACGACCTGGAGATCTTCCCCCGCTGCCGGGCTGAAAATGACAGTGCCGTTCGGGACCCGAGAGGCTGATGTAGAGCTAGAAGTTCTGCGGCGAGATCATCGTAGCTCAGACCCGGATGCTTTGAGCCCGGCAATTCCGGCAATTGCTTCTTTGCGGAAGCAGTCGCCATTTCGTCAGATTGGGCCTGGGTGTCGCACAAGTTTGGCTCGAGACTTGAAAACACAGGGCTGTTTTCCAAGCCATGCCGATGCCGGCACAGCTTGCGGAGGAGGAGTCCGTTGCGGCTTCATCGCATTCACAGCGCTTCGAGCACACCAATGCAAGCAGCTACAAGTATGAGCACACCGGGGCTAGCACTCTCAAGAAGGCACATTCCTGCCTCTCTCAAGGCACGACGGCACTGACGGGATTAACCCCCGACAACAAAAGCGTAGTGTCAGAGTCGCATGCTTCAGTTCCGGAGCTCAATGCCATCAAGGCCGATGTCGAGAATGCCATGCCCTGTGGCGAAGCAGTCAGCATCTGGACGCGGTCGACCATTGGGATTGTGCTGAATGGATTCCTTCTTGCCTTCTTGAGCGCCACCTGCAGTGGTGTTGTCTACGGCTTCTTTCTGGGCTACATGGGCTTAGAGTCCTATGTCCTGGCATCCATTGCGGCACTCATGAAGCTTCCGGACGTCTTCCCCTTACCTTATGGGATTCTCACCGACTGCTTTCCCATCCGTGGGCAGAAGAGGAAGCCTTGGCTCTTGATTTCCTGGGCCATCTCAGCCGGTGCACTCCTTACAATGAGCCTGAAGCCCCAACCTGGCCCGTTCTACTGCTTCGAGAACGGGGACTACAACTGGTATGTGCCCCCCTGCAACCCTGGTATTCTGAAGCAGAAGAACTGGTACGTCTTCCCGATGTTCATCTTGACAGCTGGTCTCCAGCTAGGCAGCGTTTCGGGTCAAGCCCTGCTTTTGGAGTACTCGCAGCTTGAGCCGCTGGAGCGCCGTGGGCAGATCAAGGCGGAGATGACCATGGTGTGCACGGCAGGGTCCCTGGCTTCCTCACTGTTTATTGGCATCTTCATGAACAGCAAGGAGTACTTGGGTACCTTCGACTGGGGCTTGTCCTTCAGTGGTCTGATGGCTGTTTGCCTGGTCCTGGTCATCTTGATCATCCCTGTGACAGTCATGTGTGTGTATGAGCCCCCAAAATCTGGGCAACGCACATCGTGCCGCGCTCATGTCAAGTCTTCTTGGGAGCTCGTGCAGGGGAAAGCACTCTCGAGCCTTCTTTTCTTCGCTTTCTTTGTCCAGTTTTTGGTCTCCATGACGACGACCGCCGGACCAATGGTCCGGAGCCAATGGGCGCATGTGAAAGTTCTGCAGCAGCAGATGTTTGGCATGGCTGGTCTGGGCATCATGATGGCGGCCACCTGGGTCTACAGAGTGTACTTTCTTCAGGCAAGCTGGAGAAAAGCCATCTTTGTAGCGATCGTCGCAGTGAACCTGCTCGATGCCATCCCACAATTCCTCACGACTTTTGATTTGGTGCGGAACCAGTACTTCTACCTGGGCGAAGACGTCGTGAGCTCCATTCCCAACGCCGTCTTGCAATTAGTCTCGAACTTGATGATCATCGAGCTCGCCGAGCCGGGCCGGGAAGGTCTCTCCTACGGCCTGATCGGAACTTTGCAGCAATCCGCTTTGCCCTTTGCCACGGTGATCAGCAACCAGGTCTATGGGCTTTTCGACCCAAAGCTCTCGAACCTGGAGAACTACATCCTGGACACTCCCCAGTTTCGCTCGACCGTCGCATGGTCCTATGTGCTGACCTACACCACCTCGTTCCTTGCCTTGGCTTTGCTCCCGATGATTCCATGGCAGAAAGCCGAGGCTCACAGGCGGAAGAAAGAGTGGAGCTCCAATTCCGCCATGGCAGCCATTGTCCTTGTGATCCCGGCCCTCTGCTTGACCTACGGAATCATTGTCTTGCTGCTGACAAGCCAGCCTGAGACCGCTTGCCTTCGTTGGGTGGGAGGCCAGGGCTGCGAGACTCCAAGTTGAACATGAAAAAGGAAGCTCAAGGTTTAGGGTTTAGGGTTTAGCAAGGAGCTCGCATGAAAGTTCCTAGCCTCTTTGAAATCCTGTGCGCCTCTCCTTGATGCCACGGCTGCGGCCGGCACAAAGATGCACCTTGACTTGAGGGCTGAGGGAAGCGATTCCCCGAGACATGCTGAAACATAGAAGTTGCATCTGAAGAAATACCCCAGCCCCCAATCTTCAACTAGATGAGGCCGAGGTGAATTCGACCCCGGTGCCCTCGGTTTTCGAGGCCAGGGCTACTCCGGCGCAGCGCATGAAGGAGATCCAGTTCGGATGCAATGCAGAAGCCTTAATAACTAGAATAGAGCTTTGGGGTATACTGTAAATATAATAAGGACCCC